GTTAATTATTGAAACTGTCCTACCAATTTGGTTTGAAACTGTCTCACTGCTATTTGTTTCTCAATAAAATTATGGGAAAAAAACAAGCAAACAAAAAAAAAACTCAAGAGGCCAAACACATACCAAAGTTCACTGAGCCTTCTGTGGCATTAGACCAGCAGCCAAAACTTGTTCTCCAAAGTACTGGGACATCACCTCTCACCAACTATGACTTTAAGTCCACGGAGACATGGCCTCCTGGGTCCTTGAAAGCTGGCAAGCAGGTAATCCTGAGACAGTGGCAGAAGGAGCTGTTGGGCCGGGTGGTAGCTCAGGGGCTTAAGCACCTGCCTGGGGCAAGGTCCTGAACTGGAGCCCTGGTACAAAAAAAGAGTTCAATTTCGAAGCCAGCCTCTTCCAGCAATGCCTGTCTTTCAAGGACACACAATAATTCAGTAAAGTAGCTCCAGGTTCTGCTCAGACATCTAAGAAAAAGACTACTACTTTGAGAAACTCTCTAAGGAAAGGAAAAGAGAGGATCTGATTAGGGAGCAACACTGAAAGCCAGGCTGCTGACCCAAAGTTCTTTTACTTTAGCAGTGTCTGCCTGACAGGTCCCTGCCCACTAGGCCCAGGAGACCCTTGGAAAAGGTAATCACTTAACGATTCTCTGTAGACCCTCATATACCCCTCTCCCCGAACCCTAAAACAACTGGAAAAAAAAAAACAATCTGGTGGTGAACAAGAAGTGGTCACAAAGACATTCACAGCCACTTATCAGACTGTGGCAGTGAACATTCAGCAGTGTCCCTCAATAAATAATAGCAATTAGGCCAGGAATATAGCTCAGCAGCACAGTACCTGCCTGGCAAACGCAAGAGCCTGAGCTTTATTCCCAAACAAAGAATAAAGAAATAACATGTGACTTCCACAAAGTAAGACAGGTGCTGTCTGCCCCTGGCCATTACCTTCCTGGCCATAACTTCCTGATTCTTGCTTATTATGTGGCTTCTTATGAGACTGCATGAGCATTCAATGGGTCACCAGGCTACACATAAGATCAGACTGACAGAGGAAAACACACTGGAATACACAAGATCTCACACCCAGGGAAAACTAGGGCATATGGGCCATGCAAACAGGAAATGGGCAGAAATTAAGATTCTCTCAGGGGCATCTTAAAAAGCCCTAATCCGAGGGCCAGGGAGATGGTGCAGCAGAGTAAGTGTTTGCCTGGCAAGCACAACATCCTGAGTTAAATCCCCAGTAGCACAAAAAAAGAAAAAAAAGCTCTAATCCACAGGCCCTTCAGCATACCAGCCTAAGGGGACACATTTTAATTTCTCCTCACACAGACATCTCAAAAGGAAAGCTAGAAACCTCTTGCCCAAGATTCCTTGACTCTACAAGCAGACCTGACCTTACTCAGACTAGACTGAGGTATAACAAGACACTGTACAGATCTACTACAGATCCGGTCTCTAATTAGCATCTGCTCTGAAACGAGTTCAAAAGCGACATCTATGACAAGATCTGAGGGAAAGTTTCTTTTATGAATTAGATACTAAGAAAACACAGAACTGTCTGCAAAAGCTCTCTCACAGCTCACCAAGGGCTGATAACATAGACTGCAGCAGAAGTGAGGTGCAGTCCAGTAAGCGCAGGAAGAAGTGCGATCACGTTAAGTACACGTGGGACCACCTAGCTGCTCAGACCAGGCCCTGTAAACGTGGAACCAGCTAGCTGCTCAGACCACACCCTGTACACGTGTGACCAGCTAGCTGCTCAGACTACGCCCTGTACACGTGGGACCCCCTAGCTGCTCAGACCACGCCCTGTACACGTGGGACCAGCTAGCTGCTCAGACCACGCCCTGTAAACGTGGGACCACCTAGCTGCTCAGACCAGGCCCTGTACACGTGGGACCAGCTAGCTGCTCAGACCACGCCCTGTAAACGTGGGACCACCTAGCTGCTCAGACCAGGCCCTGTAAACGTGGGACCAGCTAGCTGCTCAGACCACACCCTGTACACGTGGGACCAGCTAGGTGCTCAGACCACGCCCTGTACACGTGTGACCAGCTAGCTGCTCAGGCTACGC